TTTTCCATGTATCTGCTGCCTTTATCCTTGTGTTTTTTCAATCTGAAAAAGACCCATTACTCTTGACTCAGTATTGTGTGTGTTAACAAATCCTCAATCCATGCTCATGTTTAGATGCAATATTGTGTGCTCTGACTTCTGCAATAATTTTTTTATGTGGCACCTTCCGGAAATCCAAATACACAACATCTACCAGCTCTCCTTTATCAACTTTGCTTATTATATCCTCAAAAGATTCCTCGCAAATTTGTCAAAACATGTTTTTCCTTTCTCATAACCATGTCAACTCCTGTTTGATTGCATTAAGCTTTTCTAAATGTCTTGCTATTTCTTCCTTAATAATGGACACCAGCATTTTGCCAAAGACGGGTGTAAGGCTAATTGGCCTATAGTTTTCTGCTTTGTCTCCCTCTCATCTTAAGTAGGGGTGTCAAACTTTTCCAATCCACTGGAAACCTGCCACAATACAGTGAGTTCTGGAATTTTTGAGTCTAGCCTGGCACCTTGTCTGCCTTCAGTCCTGTTAAATTGTCAAATACTTTGTCCTTCATGATAGAGACCGTTTCAAGACCCTTCCTCTCTTTAGCATCTTGCTTATGAGCTTTCCTTGGGATGTTTATAGTGGCCTCTACCATGAAGATTAATGCAAAATATTGGTTTAAATTATTGCCATTTCCCTGTTGGCAATTTCCTAATCACATCTTCCAAGGGTCCCATGCTCACTTAAGCTACTTTTCTTTTCGTATACCCATAGAAATGCTTGCTTTTTGATTTTTATATTCCTTGTCAATCACTTTCATAATCAAATTTATCCTTTTTATTAGGTTTTTAGTTATCCAATTAGTGGTTCCTCAAAAGAAAACCCCAATCCTCTGACCTATCGCTAGTTTTTGCTGCTTTGTGCGCCTTTGTTTTTGAAGTGTTTCCTGGCCAATATTTCTGTTTTGCACCTGCTGCAGTGCTCCAGTGAGGTTCAACTCTCATTTTCCACTTGGGGATCCAGCAGCCTTTGGGACTTAATATTGAGTTCAATAATTTTAAAACCTGAACACCTTATCCCAGTCCTTTAACCACCCTCTCGCACCAGGCCCTGTCATAGCATGGGTTGTTTTCAGCACAGCCAACCTATTTTCATCTACTTATGGTTCCCATTATCAGCCCTTTTTCTTCCCTGGCTTATTATCATCCCTTTGTCTGCCTAACTCTCATTCGCTATCTCGCTCGCTCTCGCTCCAACTACTTACACCCCCACCCCCATGTGTCTTTAGCATTTACACCACCTTTGCCTAGCTACTGTCAATTCTGAAGAAAAATTGGGTTTGAAACATTTAACTCTGCTTTTTCTTTACAGGTGCCAGCAGACCTGCTGAGTTTCTCCATAAGTTTCTGTTTTTGAACAAATGAAAAAGTACGGGACAGGACAGGACAGGCCCTTCGGCCCTCCAAAACAGTGCTGACCATCGTACCCCCTACTTAAAAACAAACCTGCCATTTTTCAATCTATATCCCTCTATTCCCTCCCTATATATACGCCTATGTAGGTGCCTCTTAAATGTGTCAATGTGCCTGCTTCTACCACCACTTCTGGTTGTGCATTCCAGGCTGCTAGCGTTGTGCATGAAAAACTTCGCTTGCACATCTCCCTTAAACTTTTCCCCTCTGACCTTGAACCTGTACCACCTTGTATTTGAGACATCCACCTTGGGGGAAAAACCCTCTGACTATCCACCCTATCTATGCCTCTCATAATTTTGTAGACTTCTATCGGGTCTCCTCTCAGCTGCCGTCTTTCCAGTGAAAACAATTCTAGTCTTTTTAACATTTCCTTATAGTCAATGCCCTGGAGACCAGGCAACATCCTGGTGAACCTTCTCTGTACTCTCTCCAAAGCTTCCACATCCTTCTGGTAGTGCGATGACCAAAACTGCACATAGTACTCCAAATGCGGCCTGTCAAGGGTTTTATATAGCTGCAACATGTTTTGCTAACTCTTGTACTCCACGCCCCAGGCGATGAAGGCAAGCATGCTATATGCCTCTTAATCACTTTGGCTACCAGCGCTGCCACTTTCAGTAATCTGTGGACCTGCATGCCCAGATCCATCTGAATGTTGGTGTTCCTAAGGGTTCTGCCATTTACAATATAATTCACACCTAAATTTGATCCTCCAAAATGAATCACCTTGCATTTGTCTGGATTAAACTCCAACTGCCTCTTCTGCGCCCAAGTCGCCAATCTGTCTATATCCTGTTGTATACTTTCACAATCATTGGCACCATAGCAACTCCTCCAATCTTCGTGTCATCAGCAAACTTACTTATCAGACCACCCACACTTCTCATCCAGATCATTTATACACACAACAAACAACAAAGGACCTAAGACTGACCCCTGTGGAACACCACTAGTTACTGGTCTCCATTCTGGAAAAAATCCTTCCACCACTACACTCTGTCTTCTATGACCAAGCCAGTTTTCTATCCATCTAGCCAGGCCACCCCGAATTCCTTGTGAGTTTAGTTTTTGTACCAACTTGCCATGTGGGATTTCATTAAATGCCTTGAAGTCCATATAAACCATATCCACAGCCCATCCTTCATCAATTATCTTTGTCACCACTTGAAAAAATTCAATCAGGTTGGTGAGAAATGACCTTCCCCGGACAAAACAATGCTGCCTGTCACTAACTAGTCTATTTTCCTCCAAATGCGCATATGTCTTGTCCCTCAGTATCTTCTCCAAGAGCTTCCCCACCACATACATCAAGCTCACTGGCCTGTAGTTTCCTGGATTATCCCTGCATCCTTTCTTAAACAAGGAAACAACATTCGCTAATCTCCAGTCCTTTGGAACTTCACTTGTGGACAACGAGGATGTGAAGATATCTGCCAATGCCCCTGCTATTTCCTCCCTTGCCTCTCTGAGTAACCTGGGGTAGATCCCATCTGGTCCTGGGGACTTGTCTATTGTAATGCAATTTAGGATTTCCCAAAGCTTCCTCCTTCAATATGTTGACATTCCCTAGCGTGTTCACACACTCATCCTTGACATCAACATTTGTCATATTCTTCTCCTTGGTGAAAACCGATACAAAGTACTCATTCAAGGTCTCCCCCACTTCTCTACGTGGCTCTATGTATAACATCCCTCCTTCGTCCTTGAGTGGGCCTACTCTTTCCCTGTTACCCTCTTTCTCCTAACATATGCATTAAAAAACCTTGGGATTCTCCTTGACCCTGTTTGCTAAAGACACTTCATGGCCCCTTTTTACTTTCCTAATTGCGCATTTAAGTTCCTTCCTAATTTCTCTATACTCCAGGGCATTGTCAGTTTGTAGCTGTCTAGACTTGTTGAATGCTTCCCTTTTTCTTTTGACTAACCTCACAATTTCCCTTGTCTTCCGTGTTCCTGAATCTTGCCATTCCTATCCTATAGTCTTGCAGGGACATGCATGTCCTGCACTTTAGTCAATTGGTCTTTAAAAGCTCCCACATGCCAGAGGTAGATTTGCCCTCAAATAACTGCTTCCAGTCCACATTATCCAGTTCCTCGTCTAATTTGTGTGCAATTGGCGCTTGCTCAATTAAGCACCCTCACCCGAGGAAATCTTATGGAGTTATAGTCAGTAAGCCCGAAATGCTCTCCTACTGAAGCATCAATCACCTGTCCTGGCTCATTCCCTAGGACCAAGTCTAATATGGCCTCCTCTGTGGTTGGATTGTCAACATACTGCCTCAAAAAGCCCTTGTGGACACAACTAACAAATTGCTCTCCATCCAAGCCCCTGGCTCTAAGGGATTCCCAGTCAATAAAAGGAAAGTTGAAGTCCCCCACCACAACTACCCTGCTCTTTTCACACTTTTCTAGTATCTGACTACATGTCTGCTCCTCTGTCTCCTGTGGGCTGTTGGGAGGTCTATAGAAAACTTGTTTCAGATCTTAGCATCCACAGTTATTTGTTATATATTACTCTTCACAATGACGCTGACTTGCTGCACACTCCTGCCTATGGAGGGTCATGGAGTGCACATCCACCAATCAGGTTAACAAAACCAGATAAAAGCAAGCCAAGAACTGAGTTATATCCACAAGGGCAGAAATCAAAAGCAGGAAAGTTATGTTAACTTTTATGGACCCTTGGTTAGAACAGCTGTTGGAGCACAATTAAAGGCGCAAGTCTCCATATGAAATGGACATAGTAGCACTAAAGAAGATGGAAAAAGGGAATTTGTTAAAATGATATCAGAACTGAGAAAGTATATCTATCTGAAAATAATACATTATTTTGAAAAGAAAGGGTGACCTATTAAAGGTATTTAAATTTATGAAAGGCTTTGATAGATTTGTCAGAGATTTTTTTCACTTGTAGGAGAAACTGACACTAAGGGCCATAAAAATAAGGTGGGCAGCAATGAATTCAGGAGGGATTGCTTTAGAGAGTGGTGAGAATGTGGAATTCACTGCCATGAAGAGTCGTCGAGGTAAAATTACAGAAGCCTTTACTGTAGAACTTAATTTAAGTAAAAAACGTACCCGCTCCATAGCTAGGTTCATTAATATGACCTATGAACTTCCTTTAGGAATGGACCAAGTAAAATATGGAAGTGTACAAATTGAGTTGCATGCACATTTTGTATGGATAAATGGACAACTCTTTTAATGTCTTAGGTGTACAATTTTTCTTCCCACAACCCTGAAATTTTATTATCACTTATTTATTCAATTACTTTTTGAAAGTTAATGCTGAATCTGCTTCCACCACTGCTACAGACAGTGCATTCCAGAGCATGACATGATACACAGTGCATTGGTTAAATCAATGATCCTTCATCATGTAAGTCTGTCTTAAAGTTGTGAAGTGTTGATAACCTCTGTCGTAGCTGTAAAACCTTGTCAAGATCCTGGCTTATGGTGTCATAAGTCTTACTGCTGAATGTTTTTCGTATTGCTGTTAATGCAGCTTGTATTTTCTAAATGACTTTGTCTTGTTGACGTTGCAGGAATGGCATGCAAGATCTTCATTTGACTGTTCACAAAAGGGATAGTTCAAAACCACCAGTCTGCCAGAACTCTTGCCAGTCCATGCTGGATACTGGGGCCAGCAGTGACTCTGTAAGTATCTTGATGGCACAGCGCTGTTTGTATAATGAATTATTAAATTTTCCCAGATGTTGGAAGAGTGATTGTGGTAATTCTTCTACTGACTCTTTTTCATGTATTATTTGTTCTCTGCATACATGCCAATCAACTGCCTTTGACACAAACACTTGCAGTTTGCACATGCTGTCCTCTGTGTCGAGTATTGCTCAGTGGGTAATTCTAATAAGTTGGAGGTCAGGTTAAACTTGACATTAGAATAGAGCAGCTCACCATGCAAATTAAACTCATCTAATCCAAGAACTTTCCTACCTAGGAAACTATGGAAACATTCTGGAGATGCTGAATAGCAATAATATTGTATTTCATTCCATTCCATTCCATGAATGCTGTATCTGAAGGCAGATCCTTGGCCTATTGCTGTCTACTGCTGTTTCTTCTTAGATTGTTTCCTGGTAGTTTTGTTTTGTCAGTGGTTATACGCCATTGCTGTCCACTTTCAGGGGCAGAGAAAGGAAGTAGGTCCTACTTCAGCTCGAAGAGGAGTACATTACTTTGCAAATATTTACAGTAAAAGATCAGAAAATAAATTGACTAACCCTCCGTCTGCTCTTTCACATTTCCTCATTGCCTGAGGAAGCTTTACTAATATTCTCTGGGTCAAGGTCTTCTGAGAGGGCAACACGGCCCATAACCAGGAACAACGAGATGTGAGGCATAGCCAGGCTATTACTCGTGCAAGTGTTGTGAGAGGGGAGACTTGTTTTGTACTGGGTTGTTATAAAAGGTGTCATGGTCTGTGATGGGGTGATTGAGATGTATTCTGGTCAGTACTGGAGTGTTGTGAGAAATGTAATCTGGTCCATGTGGGAATGTTTTGAGAACGAACCAGGCCTGTGCTAGAGTGTTGCATGGAGGTGAGGTAGATTCTTTGTGGAGAGGTGAAAAGATTAAAGAGCACTAATTCAGGTAGTCCTAAACAAGGAGGGAAAGTAAAATAAAATTGGGAGAGAAAATTTCAGATGAAGGATTCCCCTCATTAATTTTACAATTAGTAAAATACACACGGGTCCTTTAACAATATTCTGTTTGTTTAGAAGTCATCGAGAGAGTGATTTTCAATGTGCAATAATAGCTCACTACCTATTGTGAAAGGCTTGGTACTCTGTTGGAAAACTGAAGTGATTAGGAAGAGATCAAGTTCCAATATTTAATTTTAGTTTACCATGATCATTGAAGCCTAATTTGCAGCTTAGACCCTAGCTAGTCAGACAGTTTGAGGCTTGAGTTTTGATGCTTGCCTGTCAGCATTCAGTCGTTGAAATCGAGGTTGACGACTCGTGAGTTTCCAAATCAATGCTGTAGAGTGAGAGTTGTTAGAAAATTTATTTTTCATTTCCAGATCAGGTGTATGTGTCTGACTTAGCGTGCGCCTTAATGAAAATTAAGTCTTGACTGTGTAGTTTGTAAATGTTTCTACTTAATTCAAATTCAGAATGAAAATGCAGGGCCCCTACCTGCCTGCAAGTTGGAAAATGTATTGGTATTCACATTGAGTTGGAATAATTTACTGAATAGCTTTTGAAAAAGCTGTTGTTAAAAGTGTAAAATATTAAGATAGAGGCATTATTTTAAAGTACCTTAGTTTTCTTTTTTTCCCGTATGTCTGGAAAAAGATCTATTTTTGTTTGAACAGTATTTGTTTATAATGTCATCCAAGAAACCAGCTGAGAGAATTTGACATGCAGGTGGTTATGTCAGTTTTCTTAGAAATGGCAGTATCTGAAAGCAGTGAATTCATAATTGTATCTTTAATTGTACTCTGTCTTCATCTTAGGTCTGGTTACTTCTCAACTATTTTTTTGAATATCATCAATGTTCACTCAAAAATATGGCTAAGTAAAAAAAAAAGCATGTTAGTACTGGTACTTTTTTTTAAGTAGACAAAGATAGTGAACTGATTTGCTTTTTTTAAAAAAAAAGTCTTCAATTTAGATGCACTGTTTAATCCAATAAGAGTTTTGAGATGCGTTTGGAGAAGAAAAGGTCTGTTTTCTTTCTCTAGAATTCTGACTCTGTGCCTCTGTAAATGTGTCTGTTTTATAATGGAGTAACCGCTTCAGATTAGAAAGAAATTGGTCAATTTCATACCCAAACAAATAATGTGAATTAGAAGCATTGCATTTCCTTATATTTAACAGAACGCTGCAGAGTTTAAGTTAATAGCTCAGTTTAATTTTGTAGTAAGACTCAGATTTTTGTTTCTGAAATATTAGCAGGTATTTAAGTATGCTGTGAAGTTGCCTTTTTTAATCCTCTTCCAAATGATGGACTGAAGTCTTTGCTTCTTCCAAATAGGATTTGTCGGCAAATCCTAAAGATGCGGAAGTACTCAAAGGTATTTGAATATATCCTTCTTGTGTGTTTTCATACCACTTGTCCTTTCTTTACTGAATTAATGAGGTTGTAACACTTTTGTATCTTGGCCCATGTGCTTTTGAATCCCACAGACCTGCTAAACCTAGTAAGGGTATGGAGTCTCCTTTGGAACATTGACTTTGTACTAATTATCATAAGCCTACTTGATTCCAAAAAAATCTCCATTTATCTCTTGCCCTGCAATCTGTTCCATCATACCTCTGAGGAAGATGGTCATCAATTAATGGTTAGGTAACCAACAAGGGCAGGTCTGAATCAATCCCTGGCAAACTGTGTGAATATATTGTAGAAGAAGAGTGCTGTGAGTACAGTGCAGCTCAAAGCAGAGCAGTTTTGGAAGAGGGTTCCAATAGACAAAAGAACTGGCTGCTAGCAGTGGCTTAGAAAGTGCAGGAAATGAGTGCAGACAGAACGATCGAGAGATGTTTAAAAAAATTCCCAAAATTGAATGGCGCAAAGCTTTGAGGACATGGTTCCTTGAAAGTTGCATCTCAGGTAGACAAGGTGGTTATAAAGGCACTTAGCACACTTGCCTTCATTGCTCAGACCATTGAGTGAGTATAGGAGTTGGGACATCATCTTGAGTTTTGTACAAGATGATTGTGAGGCCACTATTGGAGTACTGTGTATGGTTGGGGGTCACCCTACTAAATGAAAGATAATTATTAAGTTGGAAAGGATTTACCAGGATGTTGCTGGAACTTGGAGGGTTTAAGTTATAGGGAGAGGCTGGATAGGCTGGGACTTCTATCGTTGGAGCATAGGAGATTGAGGGGTGACCTTTTATAGAGGTTTATAAAATAATGAGGGGCATGGATAAAGTGAATAGCAAAGGTCTTCTTCCCTGCGATGGGGGAGTTCAAAACTAGGGGGCATATTTTTAAAGTGAGAGGAGAAAGATGTAAAAGGGAACTGAGGGGCAACTTTTTCACAAAGCATAGTTCCTATGTGGAATGAACTGCCAGAGGAAGTGGTTCTTGCAGGTATGGTTATGACATTTAAAAGAAATTTGGATGGGTGCATGAATAGGCAAGGTTTAGAGGGATATGGGACTAGGTTAGTTTGGGAAACTTGGTCAGCATGGACAAGTTGGACCAAAGGATCTGTTTCTGTGCTGTATCACTCTGATTCTAAGTCAGATTTGGTGAACCAGTGGAGGTAGCACGTATGGTGCGAGGAGTAAATGAATGTAACAATACTGCAGGGCTTGAATCTGGTTGTGGATGGTGTAAAGCACAACCATCTCTAATTTCTTCTTGAAGATACACTCGCCCTGAGTTGGAATTTGTCACTGTTCCTTCATCAGGGCCAATGTCCTGGAGCACCTTTTCCAACAGCATTATGGAAGCATCTTTCCCACATGGACTTCATTGGTGCAAGAAGGTGTCTCACCACCACCTTTTTCAAAGTCGTCTAGGGATGGGCAGTAAATGTTCACCTCGACAGCAGTGCTACTTGCGGAGAATAACAAAATCCAAAGACACTTTTGACCACAATGACCATAAGGCTCTACCAAAAATCCTATGGAGAAACCTACAGCTTTAGGTCTATTAAAGGGTAAACTAATTAAAGGATGGAGGACACAGACTATACTCTTAAAAAGGAAATGTGACTAAGCATCAGAGTTTCTATATTGATCATTGAGATGTTTAATAATGTGCTGTAAACAACTGAAGGGAATTGGAACAAAGCATGCAGTTCTTTAAGTCAAAATAAAAGCATGATTTAATATTTGGAGAGGATTGGATGTTGAATAAAATACCCTCAATATGTTATTTATACTAGTGTTTTGCAAATTTCAGAGAGAGACTTCAGAAGACTCACTGTAGCTCAGCAAAGCAATGTGCTCTCACTTGAACCAACTTACACAGCTCATTTAATGTTAAAGAGGGAAGGAGAAGGTAAACATTCTTATCGTCTGTCTCTCTTGTCTCCACTGATAAATGCATTTTTAAAGGGCAGAAAATCAGGCATGTCTGACCTCGTTGTGTTTCCTATCTCTACGAAATTTGTGTTCTTATATTATCCCCAATAAAGGTGTTTCCCTTACCCCCTCTATTACTCTATCTTTTCCCTGCCACCCCCCATAATCTTATTGGTTTATCCTTAGAATCGAGGCATTGGTCACAATCTTCCAGTTTTCTTTGGATACTTGAAAAGCACTGGATGTTGAAGTGTTGAGAATGGTATATAATTATACAAGAAGGGAGAATGAGATAAATTACAGCCAGCTATCTTAGCTGGCAAAAGTTTTATTGAAAAAAAAATTGAATAAAACGTACATTTGAAAATCATGGATTCTAAGGTTTTAGAGTAGATTTGTAGCTCGGGTTGTGGATGTTGTAGTTGGTTGGCTCGCCGGGCTGATTCGTTGTTTCGCAGACGTTTTGTTACCCTGCTGGGTAACATCATCAATGCAGCCTCCGATGAAGCGCCGTTGTGTTTTCCCGCTTGTTATTTAAACTCTGGAGTCCGTTGAGCTGGATTACCTCACTTTGGGTTTTCCTTCACAGTGAAGTGTATATGGGGTCGAGCTCTATGTGTTCGTTGATGGCTTTCTTCGTGGCGTGTGGGTTTTGTGATTTGAGTTTCTCTTGGCCAATATATCCAGCATCCCTTGCTGTTTGGCCAAGTTGGCAATCTGTGTTTTAACAGCCAGTAGGCAGTTACATTAGTGACTCATAAACCAAGCACCCAGGTTCCTTTTGGATACGTACATTTCCCAAACACACTTAAATTAAGAAATGATCTATCTTGCTTTTTTTTCTTACCAAAGTGGATAGCTTCACACTTTTTCACATTATGTTTTGTCTGCCATGCAATTGCACATTCACTTAACCTGTCTAAATCCACTTGAAGCCTTCCTGCATCCCTACATCCAAATCATTCGTAAGAACTAGGAGCAGGAGTAGGCAATTCAGCCCCTTGAACCTGCTCTGCCATTTTAAAAAATCATGGCTGATCTCCTCTCCACTTCAACTCAACCTTCCTGCTTGCTTCCATAGTCCTTGAACCCATTACTAATTAAAAATCTATCTCTTCCTTAAATTTATTCAGCGTCCTGGCGTCCACTGCACTTGGGGGTTGTGAATTCCAGTGATTCACGACCATTGGAGAGAAGTAATTCCTCCTCATCTCTGTTCTAAATCTGGCACTCTATAGCCTAAAACTATGACCTCTCATTCTAAATTGCCAGATTAGGGGGAAATATCTGCTCTACATCTACTTCATCAATTCCGTTGAGCATCTTATTTACGTAAGTTAGATCTCTTCTCATCCTTCTAAACTCTAGTGAGTATAGGCCTAAATTACTCCATCTCCTCATAAAACAAGCTTTTCATCTGAGATTAATCTGGTGAACCTCTTCTGAACTGTCTCCCCTGCAATTACTTCCTTCTTCAATTTAGGGGACCAGAACTCTCGGCAGCACTCCAGATGTTGTCTCGCCAATGCTTATACAATTGCAGCAGCACTTGGCTACTTTCATACTCCATTACTTTAGCAATAAACGCCAAATTCTATTTGTCATTCTTTATTATCTTGATATAGCTTTCTGCGACTCATGCACAAGGTGACCCCAGATCCCCCTCCACTGAATCATTTTTAATTTCCCCTCCCCATTTAAATAAGTTGTCTTTTTATTCTTTTAACCAAAAATGGATAACCTCATACATATCCACATTAAATGCCATCTGCCAAATTTTGGTCCATTCACCAAACCTATCCATATCCATTTGTAAATTTTTTTGTTTCTTCGTTGCAGCTTATTTTCTCAGCTATTTTAGTGTCGTCTATAAATTTGACTGTAGCACATTTCTCTCCCTGTGCCAAAATTACTGCACGTACTTTGGGACCAAGGACCAAACCCTGTAGTACCTCATTAATTACATCTTAGCAACCTGAAAAAGACCTATTTGACCCGGCTCTCAGCTTTCTTTTTCTTAACAATCTTCTAACCAAACAAATATATTAGAATCATAGAATCTCTATGGTGCAAAGAGAGGCCATTCAGCCCACCTGAGTCTGCACCAAGCTCTGAAGAACATCTCGCCCAAATACAACCCCCAACTCCATCAGCATAACCCCACATTTACCATGGCTAATCTACCTAGCCTGCATATCCCTGGACACTATCCCAGGGCAATTTAGCATGGCCAGTCCACTATATCGTTGGACTGTGAAAGGAAACTAGAGCATCTGGCAGAAACCCACACAGATGCTTTGAGGATGTGCAGACTCCACGTAGACAGTTACCCAAGGCTGGAGTTGAACCCGGGTCCCTGGTGCTATGAGGCAGCAGTGCTAACCGCAGTGTCGCCATGCTGCCCCTAACCATGTATGACCTTGCCTTGTTTATTGTTTGGCATCTCATCAAATGCCTGCTGGAAGTCCAGAAATACCACATCTACAGGCCTTTCAGTGTCCACTTTGTTTCATTTTTGAAAAACTCCAACAAATTAGTCAAGCATTATTTACCCTTCATTAAACTCTGGATCGTGTTTTAACTTTTCAAATGTTCCATTGCTATGGCCTTAGTTGATTCCAATAATTTCCTAAGACAGATATTAAACTACAGTTTCTTACTTTCAGCTTCCATCCCTTTTCGAATCGGCGCACTACATTAACATTTCTCTAATCTACTGGTACCTTTCTAGAATCCAGGGAATTCTAGAATATTATAACCTTTGCATCCAATATCTCTGCTGCCCTCTTTCTTTAAGACACAACTTGGTCATGAATAGCAAAGATTTGTGAATAAGGTTGTAAGGTGATGCACATAGACTTCCTAAAGGCGTTCAGCAATTACCATGAAGGAGGCTAATTAAGAAGACAGATGGAATTAAAAGAGAAAGTATGGAAACAAAATTGGCTGAAAGACAAAGAACCAAAGCTGGTATGGATAAATTTTCTTTAACAATTGAGGTACCTTGCTGTGATGCTCCAGAATTTTTCCTTTTTGATCGATTATTCTTAGCAATTTTTCATAAGTGACTTGGGCTTTGGTGTAGAGTGTGGCATAAACAAGTGTGCAAATGGTTCAAAACTTGGCAAAATTACAGATCATCAGGATAGTTATAGATTTCAGGGTGACATAGAATAGTGAAATGGCCAGAAGGGTAACAATGAAGAGTTCCATGCAGAGAAGTGTGACGGGAGGAACCCTTGGACTAAAGTAGAAAGCTCAATGTACTGTAAATGGAACAATTTTGAGAAATGTAAATAAACAGGGAGAACTTGGGTGTTCACATACACACATCATTAAAGGTGAAAGGGCAGGTTAGTAGGGTGCTGTGTTAATTGCATTTATAAGTAGAGATACAGAATATAAAAGCCAAGTAACCTTTTTGAAACTTCGTTCTCAGCTTTGGTGTACTGTGGATTGATCTGGTCACTGGACCTCAGGAAAGATGTTAAGGCCATAAACGTTTTACAGGGATGTCACCAGGGATAATGGGGAGGTTGGAGGTGTGAGAACTGATCTCCTTAGGCTAGAAAAGGTTAAGAGGTGACCTAAAGGAAAGTTTTCAAAATGGTGAGAGGTTTTGATAAAAGAAATTGGAATGACTATTCCTTCTGGTGAGAGGGCCAATAACCAGTTATAGGTTTAAAATAAAAGATGAGCCTAAATCATTCACTCAGTCATTGGAATCTTGAATGCTGCATCTGGAAAGGTGATAATAGCTGATTATGCAATTATAAAAGGAGTTAGACAAGTACTCAAGTGAGGAATTTGTAGAGCCACTGACCTAAAGCAGGCGTGTGGGGCTAAATGTGACTGTTGTTTCAAAGAACCAACACAGGCATAATTGGACCAAAGGTTTCTTTCTATCTTGGTGGGTTTCTTTGTTTCTGTACCATTTGCTCATCCCCATTCTAATAAAAATGCCATCCTGTTTTTGGCCAGACCAAATTAAATAAAGCTCAGTGATTGTGATATCTTCACCAAATTAATTTTCTGAGGAAATGGAAATCAGTATACTATTTGAAATGGAATTCGTCTATTAATATTTTGAGTTTAAACAGTTTTATACTTTGTTTTATTAGATCAGTCAAAGCCATGTGAATTGATTTATCAATTATTATTATTATATTTTGTTTTTGGTAAAATGCATAAATTGTACTCATTGCAGATCTTATCCAGAACAATGCAGCACCCCTGATGCCATCTGATTCTGCAGTGAGTTTCCATCATTCAGCTTCTCAAGATGCAGAGCCCAACAGGCAACACAAAGGAGAGTGTGACACCTTGAAAGAATCACCGTCATTCCTTTCCCCATCTACAGTGCCATGCCAGTCAACTATTTATCATACTGTAGCATTAAATGGATTAGATGGTTCTGAAAATACTAGGCATTGTGTTTTAGGTCAGATTTATACTTTGGCATCATGTGCTAGATCAGCTAATTTCGATGGGGCCCCAAATGAGTTGGAGGATACACTCAATTGGTCAGAGCACCTAGTGTCAACTGAACAGTTCATAGATAAATTAAACCCAGACTGTCAATGTACTGATGTACCAGAGACCAAGTGCGATGCATTAGTGATTAATGCAGGTAATGCTAAGCCAGGACCAATGTGCAATAGGAATCTTCTTAGTGATGAAAATAAATCTTTCAGGAAATGTTTCAGTCAAACAAAGGAAACCCCTGGGAATATTGCTGGTTGTGCTGACTGTGGGGACCAGAAACTGCCAAGTGAACCAAGTACCAACCCTGCAGTAATCAGAACAACCCACCTGAGAGCAAAAGAGGATGATTTTAATGATCCCGATCATGAAACTGTTTCAATGAACAACTTTTCTTTGGTGCAACCTACAGAAAGCAAAGAAGTAGAACTCTACTGTGATCAGGATTCCAGCAAACATTTAATTAAGAGTTTGGAGCCTAAGACTAATCAAAATAATTCAGTTCAGTGTCCTAATCGGAAACCAAGTTTGCCAAATATGCAAGATTCAGAGATAACAGACATTCCAGTTAATTCACTGGGGCTGCAAGAAGTTATGAGAAAGAGCACTGACACTGTTAATAGTGCTAACTTAACACCCTCATCATTTTTGTATGTTAATGTGAATAAAGGGACACAGATGACGGGATCTGATAAGTTCATATCAAAGACAGATCCTGCTGTCAGACCAAAGTCTTCCAGCTTTCTTAAAAGGGCTCTGTCTAGTCACCAGTGTGATAAGCAGAAGCCAAGGAAACAAGTAAATGTTGGTGCTGATTCCACGGTTTGTATTGGCAATGAATCTTGGTCTACAGTGGCCTCAAAGGACAATAAAAGTGAAGATGAGGATACAAGTGATCATACTGGTCTCGGCAGCTCCTCAAGTCTGCAATCTCATCATAATCTTTCAATAGAAACCTCTTCCAGTACTAATTCACAGACCTATTGTTCCCCAGATCACACTCATTGCAGCCACCAAAATTTACACCGACTGACCGATTCCAGAGCTGTGTCAGACTCCTTCTTGAAAGTTGTGCATTGTCTAATAGAAAACCAGAGGCAGCATGAACAGCAAGCTGTGACCGATTGCTCTGTGCAAACACACATCACCGTCCTTAGTGCAAATGGAGGAGCAGATGTGGTCTTGAGCAGGATATCCAGAGGGAGCACGAACAATCGGGGAAGAACATTAACCACTTCAAAGTCAGATTTAGAGGCCAAAGAAGGACAGATCCCAAATGAGTCAAACTCTATAGAGTTCATTTCCTTACTGGAGTCAATTAATAGTTCAAGAATTAATGCAACAAGCTGGACAGGTGATTGTCAAGAGGAGGGTGCCATGGATGGAGGTATGATTTTAGCATGTTAGGGTGTGTTTGAATAGTTTCGTAAATTTAAAACAACTTGCTAATATGTATTTTTTAATGTTGTTTCCATATAGGCACAGTAGAAAATTCAACTGTATTTTGTTAAGAGGTTTACATCTGCCTACAAAATCTTTCTTCCTGCTTTTTGTCACACTTGTTAATATTTCCATTGTGAATTACTATATCTGCATTTGTAATGGAAACTATCCATCACCTTGTAATTAGGCCACTGGCTGGTGCTGTATTATCTTTTTTTGCAGAAATCATTCAATGTGCTTCACACAAATGTCAAGTGACTGAAATTTCTAAAGTTTCAAATAAGAACTTGAACAAAATTCAAATAACACTTTTCATGATAACATTATTAAATGCATCCATTGAATTATATTTTAATTTGTTTATTTGTTTATTTATTTGTTGAAGACTCAGCCATTTTCAAAATCCTGTGTTTGCGGTTATTATTTTTGTGCAAAGCTGGGATGCTGTTAGCTGAATTCAGGTGTTGCAACTTAAGCATGTGCCATTTACAAAGCTAACTTTGTAATCCTGCTGTCAGACCAAAGTCTTCCAGTTTTCTTAAAAGGGCTCTGTCTAGTCACCAGCGTGATAAGCAGAAGCCAAGGAAACAAGTAAATGTTGGTGCTGATTCCACGGTTTGTGTTGGCAATGAATCTTGGTCTACCAGTTAGCTGAACCACTAATCTAGTGTTTTTTTTTCCTGCTTGTCACGTCTTTGCTTTGTTTTAGACCAACATATTTGAAGAATAGCTGGGGCGGATTTCAATTTACTCGGTTAACTTTTTTTTTAAAGTCAACTTTTGGGTCCTGTGTATGTCTGTGAAAGACAAGCATATTTGCTATTCAGCCACTGCAGTTCACAGTTTCTGAAAGTGCATCAGACTGAGAGATTGTGAGAGACTACCTATCCTTGTTCTAAAATAATTACGGGAGTTTGAAGCAAACTGTTTGAAATTACAAGTACCTACTCCCGATTCATCAAGGCAACAGACGGTGAGAATGAGTGGCTATAACATCCTCAAGGGCATTGACGATGTAGCTGATTTAGGGGATGAAGGTTGTTCTAGGAGTAGCCCCTGAGTGTGATGTGGTATATTGATAGAAATTAGAAGGTGAAGTAGGTTAGGGCTGTAAAACTGGCAGATAATCTGATCCCACCAGCTTCCTGCTGGATAGGTCAGGTTAAAATTACTTGCGCTGTCTTCCTCCTTTCTGATAAGAGACTACATGTCATACTCTTGCAGCTGTTGCTGCACTGTACGTTGCATTTTTCTTTCTCATTCCTGCTCACTATCACTCCTTTCTACCATCCTTTGTTTTGAACAGGAAAATTGGTTGTATTATAGATGCTTGGAAATGTAATTTTGAAGTCAGTGATTTTTCTAAATGCTATCCAGTGATTTGGCAGGAAGTCTGTGTGCCTGAGGCTTAATGATTTTGCAGGATGTGGGATGCTCCTTTCAGGGAGCCAAAATTGGGAAGGTTGTGATTTTTTTTTGTGTTTTTTTTCTTTTTCCCTTGATGTGTTATGTGATAATATTTTAGACATTGTCTGCAAGCTGGATGTGAACATGTGTTTTGAGCACTTTTACAATAGCATTTTCATTTTCAGGTTAGTGTGCAATCTTTGTTAATTGGCTACATCCCTTTAGAAGTGAACTATCTTAATATGTTAGGAATACTTATCACATCAAGTAGCATCCATGGAAAGAAATAGAGCTAACATTTCAGGTGCAGGACTCAAGGGTTGTTGACCTGAAATATTAACTGTTTCTGTCCACAGATGGTACTTGACCTGCATTTTCAGGATTTCTGTTGTTAGTTCGCATTTCTAGCATTTTGTTTTTTTACATTTTGTATTCTATTCTGTATCCTACTCAGGTTTAATAACTGTACAGGGTATTAGTGAGATCAAACTGGAATACTGTGTAGAGTAAGTCATTGTTTATGGATGCTTTCCTGAAAATTGCAACTTTTAAGTGAAATGACTTCAAGAAAATCTTGGTTTCTCATAGGAATCAATGTAAAAGCCAGAGTTAGGTTCCGGCAGAAATTTCTTGACTTGAAAAGTCAGTGTGCAATTTTAAATATTACACAATAGATGCGCTGCATTGTGTATTCCTAGCTGAAATAACTTGAAAAGTAAAATAGATTGCTGAATATAACAGAAATATTGTATAAATTCAAATTAGACATCTCTCACCAGTCTCCCTTCAGCCGTCCTTCCATCTCTGGGATGATTTGCTTCTGCTCTGGCTTGAAAGGTTATAAGTTGGCTGAAAAATCCAATGTGCAATCTCCAGATTCGAGCAGATGTTGCCCAGAAGGTTAGTGTCTCTTTACATTGGTGCCTTCCCAAATGAACCTTCCCCATTTCTGGATGGTCACCATGAATTGCTGGAAATGTTAACAACTTGCCATTTCAAAAGCATTTCAGTGGAGGAGACCTTGAATGACTTGGAGTCCTGAGGCTGGGCACTCAGCCTGGAGAAGACATTGCTGGTTCAACATCTTTCTTGTCAGTAGATTTTGAGGATCTTTTGAAGACATTGCTAGTTTTAAATTGAAGGTGACTGAAAAGTACCCTTGTCAACCAGACTTTATTTTCAGGAACAGTTCTTTCTGAATGCCATTGATGACTAGAGGACAGATTGCGCCAAAGAAAATCTCTTCAAAATATTAGAGACAACAAGGTGCAGGGCTGGATGAACACAGCAGGCCAAGCAGCATCATAGGAGCAGAGAGGCTGACGTTTCGGGCCTAGACCCTTCATCAGAAAAGGGGGAGGGGAAGGGGGTTTTTGAAATAAATAGGGAGAGAGTGGGAGGCGGATAGAAGAGGGATAGAGGAGAGGATAGGTGGAGAGGAAACAAACAGGTCGAAGAGGCGGGGATGGAGCCAGTAAAGGTGAGTGTAGGTAGGGAGTTAGGAAGGGGATAGGTCAGTCCAGGGAGGACGGACAGGTCAAGGGGGCGGGATGAGGTTGGTTGGTAGGAGATGGAGGTGCGGCTTGAGGTGGGCAACCACCTCGAAACCGATATTCATTTCAAGCCCACCGACTCCCACAGCTACCTAGAATACTCCTCCTCCCACCCACCTTCCTGCAAAAATGCTATCCCCTATTCCCAATTCCTTCGCCTCCGCCGCATCTGCTCCCAGGATGAGGCATTCCACTCCCGTACATCTCAGTTGTCCTCGTTTTTCAAGCACCGTAACTTCCCCTCCTCGGTGGTCGAGAACGCCCTCAACCGTGTCTCCCACATCTCCTGCACCTCATCCCTCACACCCCGTCCACGCAATAAAAACCAAAAAAGAATCCCCCTCGTCCTCACGTACCACCCCACCAACCTCCGGATCCAACGCATCATCCTCCGACACTTCCGCCATCTGCAATCCGACCCCACCACCAAAGACATCTTTCCCTCCCCACCTTTATCTGCTTTCCGGAGGGACAACTCTCTCCGTGACTCCCTTGTCCGCTCCACACTCCCCTCCAGCTCCACCACACCCGGCACTTTTCCCTGCAACCGCAGGAAGTGCTACACCTGCCCCCATACCTCCTCCCTCACCCCCATCCCAGGCCCCAAGAAGACTTTCCACATCAAGCAGATGTTCACCTGCACATCTGCCAATGTGGTATACTGCATCCGCTGTACCCGGTGTGGCTTCCTCTACATCGGGGAAACCAAGCGGAGACTCGGGGACCGCTTTGCAGAACACTTACGCTCGGTTCGCAACAAACAACTGCACCTCCCAGTCGCGAACCATTTCAACTCCCCCTCCCATTCCTCAGACGACATGTCCATCCTGGGCCTCCTGCAGTGCCACAACGATGCCACCCGAAGGTTGCAGGAACAGCAACTCATATTCCGCTTGGGAACCCTGCAGCCCAATGGTATCAATGTGGATTTCACAAGTTTCAAAATCTCCCCTCCCCCTACCGCATCCCAAAACCAGTCCAGCTCGTCCCTGCCTCCCTAACCTGTTCTTCCTCCCACCTATCCCCTCCTCCCACCTCAAGCCGCACCTCCATCTCCTACCGACCAACCTCATCCCGCCCCCTTGACCTGTCCGTCCTCCCTGGACTGACCTATCCCCTTCCTAACTCCCTACCTACACTCACCTTTCCTGGCCCCATCCCCGCCTCTTCGACCTGTTTGTTTCCTCTCCACCTATCCTCTCCTCTATCCCTCTTCTATCCGCCTCCCACTCTCTCCCTATTTATTTCAAAACCCCCTTCCCCTCCCCCTTTTCTGATGAAGGGTCTAGGCCCGAAACGTCAGCCTCTCTGCTCCTATGATGCTGCTTGGCCTGCTGTGTTCATCCAGCCCTGCACCTTGTTGTCTCGGATTCTCCAGGATCTGCAGTTCCTACTATCTCCCCTCTTCAAAATATTTCCCTGTTAGATAATTGCCCAGATCATCCCATCACCCTTGATGAACTCTAAAAATGTGAAGATCTTTTCCTGCAGTCTAACATTATTTAATTGGCATAGTCCATGGGTCAGGGAACAAATAACGGCATTCAAGTCCTAATTGCTCTGCTGTACCTACTCCCAATTCATCAAAGTGACAGATGGTGAGAATGAGTGGCTATAACATCCTCGAGGGCATTGACGATGTTGCTGATTTAGGGGATGCAGGTTGTTCTAGGAGTAGCCCCTAAATGGCTATGGTGTCTTGAACTGGTATACCACCAGAGTTTAAACGTAAAATCTCCTACAGTGTTTCCATTAAGCATAGCTTTGATTCCTGGTGCTGTGCTCTCTGGGGCATACTTTTTCAAAAACATCCCCGTTTATCAATATCGAAAACTTGTTTTGCTGAGTAGCGTCCTCCTTCATTGTTTTCCGCAAATGGGCAGGGATTCATCAGCCTCTCTGTGTCAGCACTATTTAATTTTCCAGACATTTTAGTATTTCATACATTGGAATGCCTCATGAAATGATCCATGACTAACATTGAAACTTTCTGACTGAGAACTCTCTCCTACTCATTCTGTAAAGTTTTGTTGAGGCTTTTTTCTTGAATGACCCTCAAACTAAGAAGGACCCGCCGATTGTTTTGGTCTCTGATCCAGACTGTTAAGAATCTTTGTTTATTCTCCATGATGTTCCTTCTAGACTGACTTATCCTGCTAGCACCTTAAAGGTGTGGCACTTTGCATAATTTGTTTGAGTTTGTCGGAATTATCAGGGAGAACAATCCCTATCATAGGTGATAGCCCAAGCGCACTAGCAATATCAATTACTTGCTCTCCTGCATCATGACATTTTAAAACACTAAGGTTTTAGAGTAAACTTGTAGCTCAGGATGTGGATGTTGTGGTTGGTTGGCTCCCAGTAGGGTAATGAAACGTCTGCGGAACAACGAACC